CTGACTGGTTTCCGGACCCCCCCCCCCGGACCCCTCCAATATAGTGAAACTGCACATTTTCGAGTACAGTAATGTACTGTAATTTTGTTCAGTGTATATGAATTTATGTCCAAAACATTTCCAAAACATATTGGAGTGGTTGGTCAAAACTTTCACTGTTGTTGCCAGTAGCAGAGCATTTTCATAAGCTCATGTTTGGGTTAAATTGTCTGTTTCAAGGTGACAGCCCTGCAGACATGTGGCAGATGCACATGCAGATGATGGTCTGTTGCTCCTCGCTAAGTGGTGATAGGTTAGTTCCAGTGTGTTTGCAAGGCCATCCACTTTATATTCCCATATTATGCCTCTTCTCAGAAAAGTTTCATCAGCAATTTGGCCTAAAACACAAGTTCAAACCTATGTCAATCTTTCAAGTGCAAACTGCCAGATCACTTTGTGAAACTTGAGTTGCTGATGTAATACAGCTGTCTACAGTTTTCACTCAACTCTTCAGTCAGTGTTGCTCTGTCTTTTATTTAAATATTTCACTTTTTAAAGAAAAAAAACATGTTTTCCCCCAGATAGTTTCAAAGCTTTAGCCACCCACGGTCTCAATATTCCAAAGTTTAATAAACAATGGTGATGCAAAGACCTATAAGAAGATGTAACATAAAGATACAAACACATACACAACCAAACCAATGTAGCACAGATTCAATCAATAGTAAATATCTAATCAGTGAAACTGCATCACAATCTTTATTTCAGAGTTTGACACTGACTGGAGCAGATCTGATGAAAAGATCAATATCACTCCTACACACCAGTCTAACACAGGTTAATGTTCAAACACTGGCTGTTTCTCTCCCAACATACCTGTCAGCTGACATGGTATCAGATAGACTGTGTGTGTGTGTGTGTGTGTGTGTAGGTGTGTGTGTGTGTGTCAAACAGCCATGGTATCATATAGACTCTATAGTCTTCACAGACAAAACACTCACCAACTGCCACATACCTTTACCCTATATACTGTTCTCTCTGACCCTCTCTCACATACTCACACACACACACACACACACACACACACACACACATACACACACTACATGATACCACAACTTTGCCTCTCTCGTTCTCACTCTTACTCTCTTAACCTTGGCTCTACAAATACCATTTTCACACAAATATGATACGGAAGCTTCTCCAGATTGAATGCCAAATACACTTTCCATATTCACAGATATACATTACATTACATGTTCCTCTCCTTTCACTTCTGCTCCTCTTTTTCCCTGTTTCTCCTACTCTTGTTCTTCTTCCAGTTTTCTCTCCTCTCTGCTACCTGCCTCTCTTTCCTCTACTGCCC